GTGGCTCACGCCTGTAATCCAAGCACTTTGGAGGCCAAGGCGGGCGGATCGCCTGAGGTCGGGAGTTCAAGACCAGCCTGACCAACATGGTGAAATCCCGCTTTTTAAAATAAAAAAAAGAAAAATTAAAAATCAGCCATGGGTGCTAATGAGTGCCTGGCAGGTCCAGCCACTCAGGAGGCTAAGGCAGGAAGACTGCTTGAACCCAGGAGGTCGAGGCTGCAGTGAGCTATGATTGCCCCACTGCACTCCAGCCTGGGCAACAGAGGAGACCTTGTCTCTTAAAAAAAGTTTCACGCAACACTTTGACTTGTTTGAGAAACCAGATACTACAGCCTAGCCAAGTCAGCACACACCATTATAGTGGGCTCAGGTGAATCAGCTCACCCCTGGTCCCAGTCACCAGCCCTTTGCAGCTTTACAAACCTCTCCGACAACGAGAGCGACATGGTCGGGAAAGCATCAGCCTTGGTACCAAGCGGCACTGGGTCCGAATCACTGCCCAGTCACTTACTCTCTCAATGACCTACAGATTGCTTCTGTAGGGGTCCCCAGCTCCTTTGTAGAGTCAGGTGGGGCTGTGGGGGAAGGTCAGAGGGAGCCTACATGGACCCTGGGTGCCCAGCCGAGGGGACTTCTGACTCCTCTTTCTTCCTTTGCTGACTGTCTCTGTCCCCAGCCCCATGACAATGGCTCTTTCTTGCCTCTGCCACCAGCAACATGAAGCTGCACTACGAGAGGGAGAAGCCACTCCAGCCCATGGCATGGTAAGGAGACTGGCATTGCCCCTTCTGTGTCCCTGAGGGTGTTGGCTCCCCCCTACCACTGGTCCTTCTTGGTTGCAGGTCACAATACCCCCAGCCCTAGCTGCTGGAGCACAGGTAGGTGTCATGGAGAGGCCTAACACGGCAGGGGGAGGGGCCAAAAGAGCTCTGATTTATAAGTTAGGGTGGTGGAGGTGCCAACGTCAGGGTGGCCTTGGGGCCCACAGAGTTAGGGACTGTGGAAAGACACAGGGCTGGGGGTCAGGGACCTGGGCTGTGTGACCTTGGGCAGGATACCCAACTGCCCTGAGCTTTTTCTGTGCAGGTACATAATAGTACCTAGCTCACTGGAGGCTGGAGGAGCAGAGGACAGTTGTAACATGTACACCGTGCTTGCATTCAGTAGGTGCTCAGGCTGTTGTTCATGACGATGTTGTCTTGCCCTTATTAATGACCCTCATTTATTAGGGGCTTGGCACACATGGAAAATGCCAGTCTCCTACTCGGTGTGTGTTAACTCCTGGTCCCCCCAACCCTGCTGGGAGGTGGCTATCATCCCCACTTTCCATATGAGGAGAGGGAGGCCCAGAGACTGGGATGAAGTGGCCCCAGGTCACACAGTGTGAGAGCCACGGAGGGGATGAGATCTAGGCTTTCACAGGGGAGGGTCTCAGTGCCCACGGTCCCCCTGCTGCCAGGCCCACACAGCTGCTGACACTAACACCCTGGCTGGCGCCCGTCGTCTCTGAGGGAACCTTCAACCCAGAGCTTCCACAGCACGCCTACCAGGCGCCGAACCTGACCATCGGGGTCACGGTGTTTGCCGTGGGGAAGTGAGTAGCGGGCCGGGGGAGGGGAGGAAGGCTCCCTGAGCCACAGGAGCTCACAGTCCAGGGAGGGGACCAGATGTGCACACAGGACCCTGCTGGGCACCCGGGGGGCTCGGAACCAGGTGCCAAGCAGACAGAAAGTGCAGAGTGGGGTGCAATGGGGCTTCCCAGGGTAGGGGGTCTGGCCCCAGCATAGACGGGAGGCGGAGTCCAGGTGAGGGGACAGCAGGAGCCTTTGTCAGGAGGACCCCTTGCCCCTCCCTGCTTCATCTGGGCCCCTTCTCTGCCCTGGTCTCTCCCCTGACCCCACCTGGCCTTCCTTTAGGAGCGGCATCTTGGCAGCCCTGCGCTGGACCTTGGGGACTCCTTCCTGGGACGCCTGAGAGAGGGACCATGATGGGCCCCCAAGCCCTAAAGCATGGCCAGATGATGAATGGCCCACTAGGGCAGGTGACCCCCTTGTCCAGTGCGTTTTGGCCTGGGGGCGGGGCTGTGTCAACCACACGCCACTCCAAGCCCCCAGCGTCCAGCACAACTCGCCTTCCCTTGATTCCTCCACTCACCTGCTTCTTGGCTGCTTTCTCCTCTGTGATCTCAGTGTTCCTGCCTATAAAACAGGCAAGGCTTAAGGTAGCTTATGAAGATCAAAGATCGTAAGAATTCTTAGGATGTTTCTGGGCACCCAGAAATTGCTCAATAAAAGTTCGCCTGGTCCAGGAGCATAAGAATTTCTGCCAGGGACATGCTTACAACAGCTATAAGAGGCTGGTACTAGCATCTTGGGAATTGGACAAATGAGAACCCAGAGGGTCAGAGCAGAGTGGCATCTTGAGATGGGGAGCTGGGAAGTGGCCCCCAGACTGACTGACCCCAGCATACAGTGGGGACCCAGGCAGGCTGCTGGGGTAGCGGTGGATGACTGGGTTATCATCGCTAGGTACACTCACTTCGTCCAGTGCTTCCTGGAGTCAGCCGAGGAGTTCTTCATGCGTGGGTACCGGGTGCACTACTACATCTTCACTGACAATCCCGCAGCCATTCCCCGAGTCCCACTGGGTCCCCACCGGCTTCTTGGCACCATCCCCATCCAGGGCCACTCCCACTGGGAGGAGATTTCCATGCGCTGGATGGAGACCATCAGCCAGCACATTGCCAAGAGGGCTCACCGGGAGGTGGACTACCTCTTCTGCCTTGATGTGGACATGGTGTTCTGGAACCCATGGGGCCCTGAGACCTTGGGAGACCTGGTGGCTGCCATTCACCCCGGCTACTACGCCATACTCTGCCAGCAGTTCCCCTACCAGCGCAGGCGTGTTTCCGCTGCCTTTGTGGCAGACAGCGAAGGGGACTTCTATTATGGTGGGGCGGTCTCCAGGGGGCAGGTGGCCAGGGTATATGAGTTTACCGGGAGCTGCCACATGGCCATCCTGGCGGACAAGGCCAATGGCATCGTGGCAGCCTGGCAGGAGGAAAGCCACCTGAACCATCACTTCATCACAAACAAGCCGTCCAAGGTCCTGTCCCCCGAGTACCTCTGGGACGACAGGAAGCCCCAGCCACCCAGCCTGAAGCTGATCAGCTTTTCTACACTAGACAAGGATATCAGCTGCCTGAGGAGCTGACCACAGAGCTGCGGCTGCCATGGATAGAGACCCAAAGCCCTGCAGCCACCAGTGCTCCACTCACGTGCAGACCAGCCCCTGTCCCGCCTACCTCTGTCAGTCAGGCGAATTCTGCCGGACAATGGACGTGAAAAAGCCACTGTGAACTGCAGAGGACTGTGCACACAGTAGAACACAAGATCACACTAGTGTGGCAGAAGAGCGATGGGGGCGGGGAGGGGAGGTGCAGTTACAAAGCAGGCCTGAAAAGCTGGTTGCGTTCTGCAGCTGTGCCTTTGCAGGGCAGGCTGTGAAGCCTCAGCCTGACTCAGAGTGCCTGAACCCCACTGCGCCAGCCCCCCGTTTATTGCATATTGCCCTTAACATTGCATTTCTAATACCCTAGGGTGAAGGCGCCCTAGACCCCTTTTCTCTGGTCACAGGGGTCCTGGGTCCCTTGATGTCCCATAGCCACATGTAGCCAATTCTTCACTCAGGCCCCCAGAGCAAGCCTTTGAAATGGAGTGAGTCTAGGCTCCCTCTGGTTTCCTGTACCCCCAGGTGAACTGCACTCTCAGGGACTAGCCACCTCCTTCTTAAGAGGGTTTGGGGCAGTTTATAATAAAGGTGGTGTGTGTTCGACCCTAGCTAGGGTGGTTTTATTTTTTAATTTTTTTTTGAGACTGAGTTTCGCTCTGGTCACCCAGGCTGGAATCGCAGTGGCGCGATCTCAGCTTACTGCAACCTCCGCCTCCCGGGTTCAAGCGATTCTCCTGCCTCAGCCTCCTGAGTAGTGGGGATTACAGGTGCCCACCACGCCCAGCTAATTTTTGTATTTTAAGTAGAGACAGGGTTTCACCATGTTGGTCAGGCTGGTCTCAAACTCCTTACCTCAAGTGATCCACCCTCCTCAGCCTCCCAAAGTGCTGGGATTACAGGCTGGGAGCTGGGGACCCAAGGTAACAGCAGACTCTGAGGCCTGGGCAGCTCTGCCTAGCAGGGGAGAAACTCCCTCTCCACCCCCCTCACCCCACTTGCACCCAGCTTTATCCCTGGCACACCCGCCCAGGGTGGGAGTCACTGGCCCATTTTCAGTAGAGGAAACAGACTCTGAGAGGTCACCATGAGCTTACCTGTGATGTAGTCCAGCTGTGGGTTTGAACCCAGGTCATCTGGGTTCAAGGCTGTGCCTGCACAGGGGCGGGAGGAATGCGGCTCTGAAGGTGAGAGCATTGTGGAGGAGGACACAGGGAGGGGTGGTGCTGGGAGGGGCTCTGAGAGAGGCAGGGGCTTGATGGGGTCCCTGGGTCGGGATGGCCCAGGGAGCCTGGAGTTGGGGTATAGGGACCAGGTCACACAGTGTTCTGAATGCCAGGCAAGGAGGCAGGGGTCACTGCAGGTCTGTCCCAGCAGGAAGATCAATATAAATGTGGTCCAAGTGTGGGACTTGGGGGATACCTGGCCAGCGAGACCCCAACACAGGATGAGGCCTCTGCGACCAGCTCAGGGATGAGTGACTGGGAAGAGCCATGAAGTGGGGATCACCACGCACAGCAGGGCTTGGTCACTTAGAGCTCAGTGGGACACAGTGCTGGTGCCTCGGCAATGGTATTCAATCGGATGAAGCTGGGCACAGTGGCTCATGCCTGTAATCCCAACACTTTGGGAGGCCGAGGTGGGCAGATCACCTGAGGTCAGGAGTTGGAGACCAGCCTGGCCAACATGATGAAACCCCATCTCTACTGCAAATACAAAAATTAGCCAGGCGTGGTGGTGTGCCCGGTAATCCCAGCTACTTGGGAGGCTGAGGCAGGAGAATCTCTTGAATCTGGGAGGTGGAGGTTGTAGTGAGCTGAGTTCTCGCCACTGCACTCCAGCCTGGTCAACGAGAGCCAGCCTCTGTCTCAAAAAACAAAAATAAATAAATAATAAAAAGGGACGAAATCAATGAGCCCTAATAAGAGTGACTACCCCCAACACTCACTCAACCTCGGTGTGACCCCCTCCTCCCCAGGCTCCCTGGAGCTGCAACTTACACCAGCTGGGGCTGCAGCTGGTGGCCCCTGGTGCTGTCAGGGAAGACAAGCAGGGAGGTGAGGAAGAGGACGGGGCGACCTTTCTCGCCGCCTAGGCTGAGTCCGCTGTCACCTCTTGTTCCTCAGCTCCCAGCCATCCACCAAGCCGAGTCCAGCAGGTGGCATTGGAGTGCTGGGCTACAGGGTGAGCCTGTATATTTGGTGACGCCCACGGGCCGGCCTAGCGCCCCCCACCCCCGGCTGGGGCGAGGGTGGCCCTAGGTCCTAGCGAGGTGGGGAGCACTGAGCAGGCGGCAGAGGCGGAGGGACACGTGAGATCGGCCGCACACAGCGCTTGCTGAGTGGCGCGTGCGCGCGGCGAGGCGGGGTGACGTGCACGCGCTGTCCGCGGTCCCGTGCAGGCCCCGTGTGCGCGCCCGGCCTTGGACACCAGGCCCGTCTGCCCCGCGCGGGGACAACCCGCGTCCGTCCGCGGGAGGGAGGCCTGAGCGCGCCCCGGAGCGCGCCCCCGAGCTCGCGCGGCGGGGCGCGCCCCTCGCACCTGCGGGCGGGCTGGGGCGGGGCCGCGGCTGTCCCCGCCCACCCCGGCCCGAGCCCCGGGAGCCGGGGCGGAACCGACCAGCGGGGCCCGAGAGGCCGGAGCGCGGCGCGGCGCAGACAATGGGAGCGGCGCTGGCGGCGGCCGGGGCAGCGGCGAGGGCCGTGGAGCCCTGGGCCCCGCTGGGACCGGAGGCCGCGCCATGAGCCCCGCAGCCGGGCGCACCCCTGCGCCGCGCGCGGGCCGAGGCGAGCGGCCTCTGCCAGCCCCGGGCCCCGCCCTGGGGCCGGCGATGAGCCGCAGAGGCTGAGGATGATGGTAGATTGCCAGGTGAGTGCCCGCCGGCCCCGGCCGAGGCTGGGGCCCCGCGTAGCGTCGCGGGTGGAGGAAGGACCGCACGCCCCCGCCCACACCCACCGTGGAGAGGGAGCCCGGCGCCGCGTCCACGCTGAGCGCGCTGACGCAGCTCCGCGTCCAACCCCGCCCGGGATAGTAGGGAAACTGAGGACAGGAGAGGGGCAGGGACTGGCCCCGGGCACACGAAGTGGGCGGAGTCCAGAGGAGAAGGGAGGGTTCCGGCCTCAGGCCAGGCAGGGCTCGGCTCACCCTTCCCATGGGGTCTGCTTTGGGACTGACAGCCCCTAAGATCCTGGGGACCCCTGCCCTCCTCTCATGTGGGCTCTTTTGCCTGGACATCTCCGCGCACGCACAGGCGCAGGCCTGCGCATACACGCGCACGGACACGCAGACACACACACCATGCACTTCCTGGGGCTCAGAGTAGGACGGGTCGCTGGGGAGGTGGCGATGGGGAAAGAAGAAAGAGGGCTGGGGCTGCTCTGCCGTGGGCAGTGGCATCCGGTCTCCAGCAACATGCTCGGGGCCACGGCACGGGGGCCAGGGGGGACACACGCTAGGCTGATGGGCAGGGGTTCCCCAAGTTTCCCAGGGTCTGTCTGGGCTGGAGCCACCCCAGGGCAGCCTGGAGATGACAGATCGTGGGGTTCTCTGTTTGCCGCTGTGATCACTTGGAAGTAGGAAAAGACCCCTTCAGTGCAGGCGGGGCTGTAGGAAAGGAAGCCTCGGATTCCTGCTCTGTAAATTGGAAAGTTTGGCTGGGTGACCCCAAGGGTTCCACAGGCTCTAGATATGTCGGCCTTAGGTCTCCATTGGGGATGTCCCCTCTACCCACCGAGGTCTGTGGAAAATGCCTTCTTCTTGGAGGTCCTTCTGAGCTAGAGAAGCCTGGGGGGTGCAAAGCCTGGCCAAGCACTGGACCACTCTTCTGGGACAAGACTGTCCTTGTTGGAGCCTCAGCGTTCTTGTTTGGAAGTGGGGCCAGAGCCTTGCCCTGATTGGAGTGAGGAGGCCTCATGAGTGAACTGGACACCCCAGGGCCAGCAGAGGGAAAGAGGGGAGCAAAGGAAGCTTCTGAGGCTCCTTGAATTACCCCCAGAGACTGCAGGCTCCTCTCCTTTGACCCCCCTGGGACCCAGGAGAGACAACACCCAAACAAAGGTGTGTGTTTTGTTTTCTGGGTTTTCTGCCTGAGGCTGTTGTGCTAGTGCCGGCCACCAGGGGGAGGCAGTGCCCACTGTGCTCCATGGAGCAACTGGAGCCGGGGAGAGCCCCGCAAGGTCCCTCTGGGAGACCCCAGCCTCCACCAAACGCACACCCCCTCATTACAAGCATTCCTCTCCACAGTTAGCTGCTCAGAGGCAGGAGGGGGCTCCGAGAGCCTCCTCTTTCCTTTCAGCAGGTGTGCCCAAGCACTCACCCTGGGTGCAGCATTGGGCCTGGGCGTGGCTCTGAAAATGACCCAGGTGGGCCTGCCCTCCGGAGCTGGCAGTCTGGAGGGGGTGATTGACAGGGCATAAAAGCAAACGGGCAAAGGAAGGGAAAAGCAAGTGCTGCAGCGAAAATCATGCTGGTGCTGCCAGCAGGGGCTGGGGCCTGAAAGGCCTTGCTAAGGGGACATCTGTGCCGTGACAGATGTCAAAGGGGGGGGCCAGCCCTGCACGAGTCTGGGGCAGTGTACTGGAGAAGCCTCCGCAGGCAGGGCTGGGAGGCAGAATTGAGTTTGGCCAGAGGAGTGAGAAAGGAGGCCAGTGTGGCCCAAGTGAGTTGGGGGCGGGAGGGGCAGCCCCAGGCCTGGAGACAGCTGTGTGACAACACTACCTAACGTACAGCTTCCAGCAGCGGACACTGATCGTCACTCGATTTCTGTGGACCCAGTTCCAGGGCAGCTCAGCTGGGTGCCTCTGCCTCCAGGTCTCATGGGAGGCTGGGGTTGGGGTCTCGTCTGTGGCTGGACTGGGCAGGACCTGCCCCCAGACCATTCACATGTCATTGGCAGGATTCAGTTTTGACTGAGGGTGTCAGTTTCTCTGTGACTGTTGGCCCTGGCCTTCCCTTGGTTCACTGCCATGTGGGCCTCTGTGTAGGGAAGGCAGCTCAGGGCATCAGAACTCACTTCCCCAGAATGAGCGGCGAGGGTGGGAGGGAAACCCAGAGCACACGAGCACGACAGAAGTCACAGTTTTTTGTCAATCTTGGAAGTGACCTCGCATCACTTGTGCTGTATTCTGCTAGTGAGAAGCCCAGTCACTAAATCTAGTCACCCTTGGAGGGAGGAGATCACTCAGCAACTTCTGTGCCAGGAGGCAGGGATCTTGGGCCGGTGTGGAAGTTGCCTGGGACGGTGGCAAGCAGTCAGGCCTGATTCTAAACATAATGGAGCCCGGGCGCAGTGGCCCACACCTGTAATCTTGGCACTTTGGGAGGCCAGGGTGGGTGGATCACTTGAGATCAGGAGTTCGACACCAGCCTGGCCAACATGGTAAAACCTTGTCTCTACCAAAAAAAAAAAAAAAAAATTAGCTGGGTGTCGTGGCGGGCACCTGTAATCCCAGCTACTCCAGAGGCTGAGGCAGGAGAATCACTTGAACCTGGGAGGCGGAGGTTGCAGTGAGCCAAAATCATGCCACTGCACTCCAGCCTGGGCGACAGAACCAATAAATAAATTAATTAACAAACAAACATATTGGAAGCCACTGAAGGGTGCTCCCGTATG